CTGGATGAAACATGGTGGTGGCTGTATGATGGTCTGGATGAAACATGGTGGTGGCTGTATGATGGTCTGGATGAAACATGGTGGTGGCTGTATGATGGTCTGGATGAAACATGGTGGTGGCTGTGCCGTTACTGGTGCATGTCTGATGCAAAGGCTTTCTAACACCTTTCTCGTGTCACGACTCTGAAGACCGAAGGACGTTGTCAACAGGTTTAATGACAATAAAAAAGGGTAAAACTGAAATGAAGACAAAAAATACAATAAATATGTGATCATATGCAGCATAAAATACAATACACTCAATTTCCACCGAACATCACATCCACATACATCTAAGCTACCAACTGCGCACCCGATAACCTCGCGATATCCTCACATCTAATTAACATAAACATACTCCACCTTAAAACAACACATTAGAGCGCTATCGCTTAGACCGAAACAATGTTGCAAAGTTACAAACTTAATACATACCGGCAATGCAACCATACACGAAAGATTTGAACAGTAATTTACACCAACGAACACCAACGGCGTCTATTTCTACCGTTTAATAAGTTTTGTTTTGAATGACAAAACTTACTATGTTGTAGTACCTTAAAATAACATGAGAGGGCAGGCTTTCTCCCTTTTTTCTTGTATAAAAAACAACATTTATAACTTCAAAACAGAACACTCCCCGTCTGGCGTGAATAAACGCCACAAATTATTTCTTTTCTTTCTTTTTTTTTTGCAAAAACAAACAAACAAACAAATATCTTATGAAGGAACCAAAACTACAATTTCTGAGATAGGTCTTACAAGCATTTTTGAACCATCTGCTTTAGCTACCTTAACTTCTACTTGACGTACTCTATCATCTTTACTTGGAAACACCTGGGTTATGAGTCCAAGAGGCCATTCATTTCTTGGTACTTGACTGTCTTTGAGTACGACGACACTTCCTAAGCTCACATTAAGTTGGTTGGATTGCCACTTGCGACGTGGCTGTAGAGTAGGAAGAAATTCTTTCTTCCACTTGTCCCAGAAGACATTTGACAGATGCTGCACCTGACGCCACTGGTGTCTGTAAATGTCCGAAGCTGTGAAGTGGCCAGCTGGAGCCTGAAGAGGGATAACTTTCTGGGTAAGAAGAGTAGCCGGAGTCAAGATGAAAGGGTCACTTGAGTCTGAAGAGACTGGGACAAGAGGTCTTGCATTTATAATAGCTGCCACCTCTGCCATGAAGGTGATGAGAACGTCATCAGTGAGTTTTGTGGTCTTGAGTTTGAAAAACATAGAGTCCAAAATTCTCCGGGCCAGGCCTATCATTCTTTCCCATGACCCGCCAAAATGAGAAGCATGCGGAGGATTGAAAGTCCAAGTACATCCATTTTCCTTTAAGTAGGACTGTAGAGCTAGATTATCCAAGTTTGAGGGTATTTTCAGTTCCTTACATGCACTGACAAAATTGGTACCCCGATCAGAACGAATAGTTTTTACAGGTCCTCTTATAGCCAGAAACCGTCTAAATGCATTAATAAAGCTAGATGTGTCGAGTGAGTTTATCACCTCGATGTGAACTGCCCTAATGCTCAGGCATGTAAAAATGACAGCCCACCTTTTGTTTTGGTTCACACTTCCTCTGGTACGTTGGTAAGACACAAACCATGGGCCGAACACATCTAAGCCAACATTGGTAAATGGAGGGTCTGTTGCAAGACGGTCTGGAGGGAGGTTTGACATTTTTTGCGTGCTCAGGGGAGCCCGAAGTCTTTTGCAGGTTACACAATTGTAAATGATTGTGCTCACCTTTCTTTTGCCACCCACTATCCACCATCCTGCAGAGCGTATAGCTCCTTCTGTAAACAAGCGACCTTGATGATGAACTTGACTGTGATAGTGCTTTATGAGAAGAACTGCAACATGGTGGTGGCCTGGAACTAGAAGTGGGTTCTTTTCACCATGAGTCAAGTTTGAGTCAGTGATACGACCACCTACTCTGAGGAGTCCATTTTCATCCAGGTAAGGGTCTAAGTTCTTAAGAGGACTGGTTTTAGGT